TTTTTCCTCAGGCATCTTATCTCTTCGTCGGAGCTGCTTTGTCGACCGCGAAAGAGAAGGAATTGTGGCACTATGCTAATCGATCTAGGGCTTCTTCTTATTCTGACAACTCTTAAACCCAAAACAAGACCACAAACATGGAGTAATTTAGAATCACTGGGATCGTATAGAATCGTACGATCCCACGATTCTACCCACACTCCCAGCGATTCTACACAAGCAACGATTTTTAGGCGATTCGGATCGATTTGGGCGTGTTGGATCGTAAAATCGTGCGATTATACGAGTTAGAAACGCGATTTTAACAACCATGGTCTTAGGGCGGACAACCTTAGAGAGGATTCTGACCATTGATAAACCTCAGGAGAAGGCAGAGTCAGCGTAGCTGATCGTCAATTGGTGTTGTATGTGTAAGATGGATGAGAAGTCGGTGAACAATCTACTCTTGCATTGCCCAGTGACTAGGGACAGATAGGGCTTTATTCTTGCCTGCTTTGGTGTTTCTTTGGTCATGCCTCATTCTACAAACAGCATGCTTACAGCTTGAAGAGAAAGTACAATAGAAGCAAGTTCGAGATGCTTGGAAAATTGCTCCTCTTTGCTCGTGGTCAGGTATTTGGTAGAGAGAGTAATAGGAGATCTCTTGATGGGAAGGAGACTCCTACTTGGGCACTCAAATTCTCTATTCTTTCTATATTCTTATTTTTGTTAGTTGTTATGGTAAACGGTTGAAATTGTAAATTTGTAGAAGATATGATAATTTTAGGGATATTTTGAGGATATAGCATATTGTTTTGGCTGTGAGCTTTCTATTTGGGTTATGCTCCCTTTTCAAGCGCTATTTTATGATATGTTACTTATAAATAATACTCCCTCCGTCCCAATATAAATGTCACTTTTAAAATCAATGGAAGTGTTCTACCAAAGAAAAACAGCCAAGGGAGCACTGTCAGTGTCACTAAGTGGGCTCTCGATTTTTCGCACTTCCTAATTGTTATCCACCATCTCATGAGTTTGTTTTTGAAAACACGAGAGAGAGAGAGAGAGAGAGAGAAGAAAAGGAGGGGGGGGGGGGGTTGGTGAGGGAGGGTTTCTGAAGTAATTTGTTAACCTTGCATGAAGATCCTGTATGGAAGTGCCCCTAGCTATTTCTACCAAAAGCTCACTCCGGATGCTTCATATTCCACCTATAACAACAGTATTCATTCTAAGGGATGGAGAATACCAGAAATACACAAGAAAGTGGTCTACAAGGCACATAATCTTGTTCAATGGAACTCACAAATTAATTGAATAATTACTATGGGGGTCATAATAAAAGGTTCCTGACAAACAATCTAGCCTGATGCTACAATTCCCCTTCCAGAAATGTTGAGCTTAATTGAAATACTGCAAAAATAAACCACCTATTCTGCTATAATCTCCAATATTTAAAAAGAACATGAAGCAAAAACAGAAGTAAGGTAATTGACATGTAAAAATAGGCAGAGACTACAAATCATAGTTTCCTATTACGCCCATGAATCCCACCGCTGGCAAAATTCCATCTTTTGCGAATCAATGTCTCCCAGAAACTAAAGGCTCCCTCACATGGATTAGTCCTTAGAAGCTTTCAGAAGGAGAGGACTCCTCTATTTAATTTACTCTATATGAACATAGGACCTCACTGCAGAAAGAGCCCTCTCTGTCATTGTAACCTTCAATGCCTCTTTCCTTCAGAAAAATGTAAACACAGCATATCATCACCTCTTTACAGGGGCACGCTATAAACCAAGTCTAGTTCAAATGAACAACTTTTCAAATGAGCTTGAGTTTGCAACAATCTCGGAAGGCGATAGAAACGGGCTTGAAATGCCGTTTGGGGAAGATGAGGAGTTGGCGGCTCTAAGAAGCTGTGATGGGGATAAAGCTCCAGGGCCGGAGGGGTTTACTTTAGCTTTCTTTCATCAGAATTAGGAGGTGGTGAAGGCTGAGGTGATGGGGGCATTGGATTCTTTTTTTCTGCATGGTTCTTTTGAGAAGAGCCTCAACGCTTCCTTCATCACTCTTATTCCCAAAGAGGGTGGAGCATGTGAGGCGAAGGAGTTAGTGTTGTTGGGGTGGTGTATAAAATTATTGCAAAAGTCTTCAATTGTGGAGAGTTCTCAAAGGGGTGATTTCAAACTCCCAGAATGCATTTGGTGGAGGGCGTCAAATTCTGGATTCAATTTTGATTGCTAGTGAATGCATTGAGGCTAGGGAGAGAAGTGGTATTCCGGGGGTTGTTTGCAAGCTGGATATCAAAAAGGCTTATGATCATATTTGCTGGAATTTTTTAGAGTACCTGAGGGAGAGAATGAGCTTTGGGCAAAAGTGGAGGTCGTGGATTTTTTTCTGTATTTCGACTGCTCGATTCTCTGTTTTAGTGAATGGATCCCCAGCTGGTTTTTTTGCTAGTTCCCTTGGATTGAGGCAGGGGGACCCTCTTTCCCCATTCTTATTTATTATCGTCATGGAGGCCTTTAGCCATCTGATGGGGAGGGCGGGTGATCTTGGGTTCATTCATGGATTCTCGGTGGGTAAAGCTCCAAATCAGTTGGTCATCTCCCACCTGCTTTTTGTGAATGACACCATTGTCTTTTGTGATGCTATCCACCTTCAGTTGAGGTATTTACGGTGCGTACTGGCCTGCTTCCAAGTTGTTTCAGGGTTGAAGATTAACACTGTGAAAAGCGAGATTGTACCAGTTGGAGAGGTGGATGATATTCATGCCTTGGCATACTCTGGGGTGTGGGGTTGGCTCTTTTCCGATCTCCTACTTGGGACTCCCTTTGGGAGCCTCATCAAGGAGAGTTTCTGTGTGGGATCCGATTGTTGAGCGGTTTGGGAAGAGGCTTGCAAGTTGGAAAAAGCAATACTTGTCCAAAGGGGGGAGGGTTACACTTATGAAAAGCACACTTCAAATCTTCCGACCTACTATATGTCGCTATTTCCGATGCCTAAGACAGTTGTTCGAAGACTTGATAATATTCAAAGGAAGTTTCTGTGGGGGGTGTAGGAGGTGAGTTCAAGTACCACTTGGTTAACTGGGAGAGGGTGTGCTCTCCAATTAATAAAGGGGGTTTGGGGATTCGAAGGCTAGATGTGTTTAATAAGGCATTGTTGGGCAAGTGGTTGTGGAGGTTCGGGAGAGAAAGGTTCAAGCTTTGGAGGCGTGTTATAGCTTGTCATTACGGGGAGGGCGATGAAGGGTGGATTTCTAGGGAGGCTAGGAGCCTAGAACCCTAGCAGGTATGGGCTCTTGGAAACTTATCCGTAGAGGTTGGGATGAATTCTCCAAACGTATTCGGTTCAAAGTTAGAAGCGGAAGTAATGTCAAGTTTTGGGAAAACAAATGGTGTGGGGATTCGGATTTAGCCAGTAGATTCTCTCGCATTTACCGGATTGCTATGGCTAGAGATGCGGTGGTCGCTAACTATTATCGACTCGATAATGGGAAGGTGACTTGGGATGTGTAGTTCCGCAGACAGTTTCACGATTGGGAACTTTTGGAGGTTACAGACTTCCTAGCATTCATCTATAAACAGGTGGTGGTTAGGGTGAGAATGGACGAGATGTTGTGGGTGGGTACCCCGAGAGGAGTGTTCGAGGTCAATTCTTTCTACAAATGCATGTTGGAGCGCCTTGGCCCTATGTTTCCTTGGAAAGCCATTTGGAGGACAAAAGCTCCTCTGAAGGTGGCATTATTCTCGTGGACTGTCACTTTGGGAAGTAGCCTTACTATTGATAACCTTAGAGAAAGAAGTCATATTGTGGTTGACATGTGTTACATGTGCAAGAAGATGGGGGAATTTGTCAACCATCTCCTTATTCATTGCTCAGTAGCTAGGGATGTTTGGGCTATGTTTTGGGTTGCGTTTGGTCTTCCATGGGTGTTCCCAAAATCCACGGTCGACTTGTTAAAGACTTAGAAAGGATGGACAGTGGAAAGTCGAGTCAGAGATGCTTGGAGGGCCACTCCCCTTTGTATTTGGTAAGGTCTGTGGTGCGAAAAAAATAGGAGATTCTTTAAAGGAGAGGAGTCTCCCATTTGGGCTATTAAATACAATATTCTTACTTCTTTATTTTTTTGCGTATATGGGCGGGATTGTAATTCAATGGATAGTCTTTTGAATTTTGTGGATAGCTTAAAGCTATAGAGCCGATTGTGGGTCCGCCGTTGTCTTCTTTGGGATCGCTCCCCTTTTGAGGGCCTTTTATAAAACCTTACTTATCCAAAAAAAGTTCCTTTTGGGATTTGAATATGAAAAAGGAGTTGGAATTGGGATTAGATAGGAATTAAAATGAAATTCCATTTGTATGTTTGGAACAATTGGATTCGAAAGAAAGAAAGAAATTCAGTTTTTAGTTTGGATGTAAGATGGGATTCGAAGTGAAAATATTATTATATATAGATATAAAATTGTAAAATGAGTATATAAAAAAAATGAACTTTAACTTCTCAAAATGTTCTAAACTAGAAATTTGTCTGATTGCTCGTAAATATCTTTAAAATATGTTTTTTAATAATTCTAGAACCAATTTTATAATATAAATAAGAGTAGGCGCAAATTCATTGAGCGTGATATAATAGTTTAGTGTTTAAACTTGAGTGCAGTTGGAAGATGTGATATGGAATGGAATATAGAAATAAAAGAAAAACTACAGGGTAGGAAGACATTAGACATACGGAAAGCACTCAAGAGTCTAGAGATAAATATAAACTAGAGAGTAAGAAGATCTTAGACATTTGTTTCCTTATAGACGGTGTGGGTTTGCATGGATTTGGTGCTTTGGAATTAATTAAAGAAAAATTAGTTCAAAGGATTAAATTTTTCTTCTCCAATCTACCCGGTATTTGAAATCCCATCAATTGTAGTCCCAAATTGATAAAGCAAATTCTTTTATAAAAATAAAAAATAAAAAAACCTATTAGTTACAAGCACAACTTAAATATCCGATTCTACTAAAGTAATACTTACTTTCAAGCTAAACGCAATGTCCTTGAGCTCCGTTACGATATTTCCCATCTTGTAGAGGCTCTGAGGAAGATCGATGTTGCCGAAGTAACTCATTCGGTACTCCTCCACGGACAGAGGATCATCATCCACCTCTTCCACGGCATTCAGAGAGTTGTCTGCAACCAGCAGTTTCAGCCCTTGCTTCCGGGTCACCGGCATGTCCATCCTCGCATATTTCTCGTCGTCGTTCAACACCTTGCGGGGGAACGTTGACCCGTCTTTCATAAATCGATTGAATGCTCTGTTTTTCTTACCTTCGGCATGAGGAAGTTGTTTTGAACGTAAGTCCGAATCCGAATTATTAGTTGGATTATCTGATTCGGAATTGGAGTTGATGGGAGCGAATGTGCGGAGGGAACAAACAGCCATTCGAGAGAGGAGCTTCGAGTAGATTGTGTTGAGAGCTCTTAATGCCATTGTTGCATCTAGGGTTTTTCGGTGTGAGAGGGAGTAGCTTAATGCCATTGTTGCATCTAGGGTTTTTCGGTGTGAGAGGGAGTAGCTTAATGCCATTGTTGCATCTAGGGCTTTCGGGTGTGAGAGAAAATGGGTATAGAGCTTTTGTTGCAAGTTTTTGGGTGAGAGAGATGGGAAGGGTGTAGGTTTTTCTTTTCCCTTTTTGGTTGGGGTGGGAGGCATACAAAACTCCAACGCGCCTTGTGACTTACAAACGCCGCCCTTCCTTTCTCCTTTTTTTTACCTATAACTGTGGAACTCGAGCGAGTTGTAAGTATAATAACTTAGCCTAATCTGCGCCGCCCCTTCCCCATTTTTTTCTCGAAAATTGTTAGACCCGGTAGATTTAAATTAGGCTGCAACTCAAGCGAACTGGAGCAACTCAATATATAAAATGTTCAATCGAGTCCAATCCTAACCTTACATTCAATCCGATCTTAAACTTAACTCTATATTCAACCCTAGCTATTAAACCCAAGTTCATCTCTTTTTTTTTTTTTTTTGAACTCGGGTTTACAATTCGAACTTAAATTTCGGGTTAGAAAGTCAGACTAATTCAAGTTATCCATATGACCTATCTCCACGGTGCAAATTTAATGTGGGCTTGAATTACTTTATGATTAAATTACTCTTATAAAAAGTTTTAAAAACTTATTGCAAATTTATAAATAAATTACCAACAAACTCTTAGAAAATTAATTCTACTAAATGTTAACATAAAATAAATTACGATTTACCAAATGAAGTTAGAAAGAAAAAAGGTGATCGTAATTTGAATAGTATATATAATGCATTTCAAATAAAAATATATATGGAAAAAAAAATATATAGAATCCGGGTTCAGGTTCGACCCGGGTTTATAGCACCTCAACCCAAACTCAACCCTAATTAAGTTTGGGTTAGAATTTTTCATCCAAAACCCAAACTTAATCATAAAAATGATTGTCTAAGCCCATAAAAAATCAAGCTGGGCTTGGGTGGGTTCGGGTTACGTAACCCAAGTTGCACCTCTAATTTTAATATATAATCCGTAATCTCTTATGTTGCGATTTTAGGGCCAATTTGGCACAATGGAAATGAAAGGAAAAAAATAATAATAATGGTAATAAAGATGATAGATTGTTTCTAGTATGAAATGTTGGAAGGAAAATAAAGGATTCAGTGGAATGCAATAAGGCATGAATAGTAACTTTTGTTATCATTTCAAAATGGGATGAAAGACAAATATTTCTAATGCAACTTTGTTAATATCAAATTTGTCATTATTTTATAAAAAATTAAATCTATAAAAAGGGTATAGTTGTAAATTCAATAAAATGGTTCCTTTCATTTCCTTCCACAAATATGATTGCTATTATGTTGCATTTGTTTTGCAGGAATGGAATGAAATGCAAGTATGTAATGAGCATGGGAATATAATGGAATAGTCATTCTAATTCTATTATTTGGTTGCAAATATGATATGTATATGAATAATCATTCTAGTGTTTGGTTGGACAAATTTAAAATTTAAAATATAATGAATTTGAATTGAATTCTCCAAAATACCCCTCTTAATGACAATAAATTAAGTTAACAAAATAACATTTTTTTATAATTTTTATAAAAGAAATGGTGGTGGTGTTGGATGGCGATGAAGATGATAGTGGAGGTGGAAAATATACAGTAGTGGTATAGGTGGTGGTTTGGAAGGCGGCGGGTGGTCGCAGTGGTGGAAGGTGGCGGTGGACGACAGATGATGAGCGCTCAAATGTGACACATTTTAGCACCTAAGCGAGGGTATTTTAGTCCATTCATCTATCTTTATTTTTCCGTTTTAGTACTTATTTGTGTTTTTGTCTATTTCAGGTTAATAAGGTTCAAACGGGCTAAAAATGGTCTATTACAGCCTTTTTGGAATTAAGCAAAAGTTCCAGAAATATTTCAGAAAAATCCAGAAAAAAAGTTAAAAATGTTGAAAATTTGGATCGATTGAAGATTTATTCTATCGATCGAAGATATTTTGGATCGATCGATCGAAGATTTCTTTAATCAATCAAAAATGTGCTGGGAGCGAACTGTTTTATTCCTATGCTCCCGAACTCTACCTACCACATAGTTGCGGGATTAGATATTTTAAGGGTTTATTTTCTGACTTGTTCACTACTCCAAGGAAGGGGGGATTTGTAATACCCCCTAGTTTTAAAAAGAATAAAATTGGAATTTCAATTATCTTTATTGTTTTTTTTTTTTATGTGGCTAGTTGCTTAAATGTTTAATTGGTTTATTTGTTTTAAACTGTAGTTTTGTATTTGAATTGCCTTATTTAGTTAAGTATATTTTAATTAAATTAATTGTATTTTTGGTTGTTATGCTTACTTTAAGTGTATTATTAATTATTTTCTTGCATGGACATAACTGTTTAATTAAATTAAGTGTATGAATTATCTTTTAGGGTTTTAGTATTTTTATGGACTTGCCGACATAATTAATTAGGATTTACGTCTAGGGTTTTTATTGACTTAGGATTTGGAGTTAGTTATAAATATATAACTTATACGTCCCTAGGGTTTGATAACCCTATTCACGACACAGTGAAAATACAGAGAGTTTGGAGAGAATTGAACGAGAGTAAAAACAGAACAAAACTTAGAAGGAGAACAGAGAGGGCCAAGGGAGAGTTGTGGTGGATTAAACCAAAACTATAGGAGGCTTGAAGGTGGTCAGTGGTTGCCGAAAATTAGGAAGACGACAACACAGTTTTGAGACCAAAGCTACAGGCAAGTTCTTCTACTTTCTCCTTCCCTTTGGCTTGTGTTCTGTGCACCTAGGTAGTCTCTAGGGTTAAATAAATTATAAACTAAAACTTACATGTTAATTGTATGTTATATTGATAATCTGTTTGAGTTGTAATCGAATCTATTACAGAATTCATACACATCTGTTTTCAGTTTTATTGGAAAAGCTTGTTAGTCCGGTTGTAATTTTAGACTCTAGGGAATTTGTTGAGTCTTAAATGGATCTTGCATGATTATTATATGTCAAATTTCATTATCTGTTGTCTGAGAAAGTGGTCTGAAATAAATTCGTTATTATCTGTTCCAGTTTTGCTCTTTAAGCATGCTAGTAAATTGCTTAGTTAAATCTCTGTATTTGATTTCAAATTGTTATTCTAAAACCATTGGGAGTCTGTTTTGGTATTAATAAGACCCTAGGATAAGTTTTAGAAATCAACTGAAGGGTGGACATAGGCCGGAGAAGAAGCAGAAGGACGAGGACGGAGCAAACAGGGACTGGAAGCTCTCAAAGGAGGTGAGAGCCGGCTCCATGGATGTGGGAGCCGGCTCCCACACTCATTGAGCCGGCTCTACATTCTTAGAGCCGGCTCCAGGCTCAAAAAAGAGCCTGCTCTTGGAACTTAGAGCAGGCTCTTTCAAATAGTAATTTTCTGAAAAAAATTCTACGAACTGTTTGGATACTATTGGAGCATGGGAACATTTCTATTGACTTTAGGGTTTTACAGAGGGATTAGAAGGTTGGATTTGAGAGTTATTAAGTCCTTAAATTGAGTAAGCTTGACCTCTAAGTGAATGAAATTAACAGTGTGCTAATTTAACAATTGTGCGTACGGGTAACTACTGGAAGGAAATTTATTGTCTAATTTTAATTTGACAATTTAAGGGGCTATAATATAGTTCTAAATTAAAGTTTAAATGTGTGATGGAGTCTTTTGAATAACAATTAGACTTGTAGCTTATTGGGGCTCTGTGCTAACAGGTTAAACAGAATATCAGTATACAACTTAGCACGCGGTTACCTGATGGAGAAAATTAAGTTGCTCAAATTAATCTAGCAATTTATGGGACTATAATGTGATTTAAAAACTTATTTTTAATGCATTATAGAGTCATTGATATATTAGATGTGATCTACGCATGCTATGGATGCTAGTTGTTGAACCTTTAAACCGTTTCCTGCAAATACATGGTTTAACTCTTGGATTTAAATTGCTGAAACTATAAATAGTCTTTTGTAATTATTTGGGATGGTTCTGGATTGTAAATTGCTATACTGTTATTTATAGGTTGTAATTTACATGGTTTGGGTGTTAATTGTGGGATCTTAGATATTATCTTACAAGTAATTGGATTATGGTTTTGAACTGTAATTGCTGTAGTGTTGTATAAACTATTCTGCAATTACCTGGCTTTTGGTTTTAGTTATTAAATTGCTGTACTGTTATTGATAGTCTGTAATTTTATTCTGAGGTTTTGGATTATTATTCTAGTTTCTCTTCAGCAATTTATTTATTCTTGTTTTTCTTATTTGTATTCTGTGTTCGATTATTGCTAATTGATTTGATATCCTCGGGTTATCGGGCGTGGGCCTGGCCAACCCGCATCCGGAAATTCGGGGGTATCACTGTTGGTATCAGAGCACTCCAGGTTCTAGTGTCCTTAGGAGTGTTTTTGTTATAGGACTTCCGCGTTGCGTCTCTTAAAAACTTAGAGCCATATTAGGATTTGTTGTACTTTTGTGCTACACTTAGTTTATTTATCGGTTAGGTAGACAATTCATACATGAATTTGATGGTCCATGCTTAATATTGCAATAGTAGACGTATTTTGTTTACAATAATGTTTTCCCCAAATTATTTGAAAGCGTGTGATTTGGTGAACAAGTTTGGTGGCAATTTCAATAGACCCCAAGACCTCACTTCTCATCTCTTAAATCCCTAACTCAACTTAGTTTATTTTAATTGCATTTTAATTTCCTTGCATCTTAGTTTAATCAACCGATCTCTCTCTTTGCAATCAATTGGTACATTAGAGTCGAAGTTAAATTCCAACACGTATAATCTATGTGGACGATCCCTACTCACTATACTTCAGTAGTTATAGTGGTGGTTTTATAAATGTAAATTTGACTAGAAAGACTTCTGAAACTACATTCATATTTTGACCTTGCGAAGCGACCTCTCACATTACAAAGTCCGTTTTCTAAACACATAGAAGAAAGGCTCGTCAAATTTTGGCGCCTTTGCCAGGGATTAACGGTTTTGTTGGAATTAAACTAGACAATAGTGTTCATTAGACTGCTTCTATTTTTATTTTATTTTCCATTGCATATTCATTTCTCATTCTTGATATTATTTGTCAATTAGGTACTTGTAATACCCCTGATTTTGTAAGGGTTATAATTGAAATTTTAATATTTATTTTATTGTTTTCATTATTTATTTTAATTATTTTTTGGTATTTATG